ATCCATCCATCNNNCCATCCATCTATCTATCTATCTATCTATCTATCTATCTATCTATCTATCTATCTATCTATCTATCTATCTATCTATCTATCTATCTATCTATCTATCTATCTATCTATCTTTTATTGCCAGGCAGGGGAGATGTGCTAGTAGAGATTTTCAGCCTCAGCATCAAAATAACTTGACCAGGCTGTGCACATCTTGCTTTCAAGAAAGGATCTTCGTTGCTATGCCTCAGACAGCACAGTGCTTGGAGCTGGCACTGGTCAAACAAACTCAGGCAGCCAACTCATATGGCAGACGTTGGATGTCATTAAAGGCATCCGTTAGGTAGCCTTTGAGATATAGCACGCAGTCCATCGAGAAGGTCTCCTGCACTATTCCCAGTGCAGGAAAAGGGATACATAGTGCTTCACCCCATTCATTCCATTGAGGAATCCTGAGGACCACTTCTCAGTGGACTGAGCCCCCACCCCTCCCTTCAGTGCCTTAGTGATAAAGATGTAATAAAAGAGTAGTGAACAATGTGCTGGTTTAGAATAGCTTCCTCAGGGAGAGTCTAGAGATCACTTGGTTTAATGGTCAGTTTTTAATTTGAAAGAATGAATTATCTTACAGATACTAATTCTATAAGCAGTACTCTTCCTAGATGATTAAGAAAAATCTCCCTGACCCTATTTTTTAAGTGGCTGAAATCCAGTAGTGTTGCAAATAGAGTAGGTCTATTAAATCAGTGGAAATTACTTAAGTGTTGGCTCATCAAAGCTGCACTGTGATTTAATAAGCCTACCCTAATTGTGAATCACTATAGTGATCTGCTGTCAAAAACATGGCTGAAAGGAAACTTTATAGGCCTGAATACAAGGGAGATTGTAGTATGCAGTATTGCTTTCCTCTCTTTTTCTCATTCTTCTTAAAATGATCTCTCTCTCTCTCTCTCTCTCTCTCTCTCTCTCTCTCTCTCTCTCTCTCTCTCTCTGTGTGTGTGTGTGTGTGTGTGTGTGTGTGTGTGTGTGTGTGTGTGTGTGTGAGAGAGAGAGAGAGAGAGAGAGAGAGAGAGAGAGAGAGAGAGAGAGGTATCTAAGAAGCTCTCTGTGTTCTGTGATTTGGAAAAAGTTCAACATTTGTTAGTGCATGTAGAATACAGGTTTAAAACAAAACAAACATGATTCTTGCCCTTTGTGTTCCAAACGCTTGTGTGCGAGTGTGTGTGTTTTTAAAGCCTGCTTTGTGAGGAAGGGTGCAATCAGATGGAAAAATAGCTCACATTTTGGACCACTCGTGGCATGGTCTGGTATGAACCGTTTTTTGGCAATCACACAACACAGATCAGTCCATCCTGCTGCATGCCCAAGCTGGAGCGATTTTTTTTAATATCTACAACTTATACAACACCAGAGTTTTTATTTTTATTTTTTTGAGGCAGGCTGGAACAGTTACTCTACGGATGGAAGGGTTGTTTAAGCAAGAAGCAGCTTTTTCCCGCACAATCAGACACAATATTTTCTTGCTATCCCATCACACCCTAAGTTGTATTTACCCCACAGACCTCCTGACTAAGTCCATTTTCAGTAAAGCTGTTCCAGGTGCCTCCTCTTTGGTGAGCACCAAGAGTTAGCAGGACGGTTTGTGGAAACATTGTTTTGTGAAATGCTTCTCTGTTCCTCCCAAAAATGGCCTGACCCTTCACTGATTTCTTTGACCAATACTTGGAAAGATTACATTTTAGGGACTGCAGTTCCTATGCCAACAGGGGCTTCTGCTCAACTAAGGATTCTGGGAGTTGTATAACTTTTCTGAGTTCTGGCTTTAGGTACCATCTTGAAAAGAATCTTATGTACCAATGCATGGATGGATTGTAATTCTGCATCTCTTCAGTGAAGTCATTGTAAACTGCTGCTTTGTGGCTTCTGAATTAAGAGACACTGACTCATGTTTCTCCCACTGAAGTCCCAGTGAGAGTTTCCTTTTTGATGTAAATTGCAGGATAAGAGATGAGGGGGATCCGTACAAGAACTGGAACAGGAAGAAAATGTTAAAAACTACCCTGAATCATACCAAGGCCCTTGTGCACCTGGTATTTACTAATTTTTTTTTTACATTTAAAAAAGCCCTGTTCAGTCAGCAACTAAATGCTTGAGCACTGTTGTATCTCATTTGGCTCAAAAAAAGATTCATATTCCAGCCCGATTTACTTAAACTCCTGGATGATTATGGAGAAAAGTGATTTTAAAAAGAAAGGAAGAAAGAGCCTGTGTGAGATGTAAACATGACTGGATGATGAAGGCTGCCACTCAATGTGTATAATTGCTTGGAATTATGAAACTCACTGAACTCAATGGAATTTGTTTCGAAGTAAACTTGCAGAAGAGTGCGACACAAATCAGAGCCAGTGAAGGATTGGATTTGCTAAGCTATGCTGTGTAATTGCAAACCTTACTGTAAAATTAATAGGGCAACGGGAGAAACAAACACAACCAAGTTCATTGTTTGGGAAACTAGATACTTCTGCCCGGAGAATTCCCTGCAGAGTAGCTGAAAGAGGAGTGAAGGCAGCTTTTCAAAGCAGTGAGGATAGATGGGTTTAATAAACCAAGCTGTTTCCCAAGATCAGATGCTTGTAATCTTCAATCACACTATTGTTAACAGTGTTTTTATGCTCCACCTTACTGTTTTTGAACCAAGTGCAAGCTCTTTTTGGGGAGGGAATAGTAAAACTGCTTTTAGCAACCCATCTGTGAGGGTGAGTGAAGCACCAGCCCCGCTCAGATTCTGGATACCCCTAGCCATCCCATTTCTGCCTGCCTCCTCACCAATGACAGAGTGCATCTCTGCTTATGGCTGTGTCATGAACAGACTCTCCAAAGGCCTCAGTAAAGCCCTGGGCAGCTTTCAGTACTTTATCACTTTCAACACTTTACGTAGTTCCTTGATCCTCTGATCTCTCCTCCCACCCTCCTCAGAGCAAAGGTGAGAAAATTAACTTTTCCTCAACCTTTGTAACTGGCAGTCATATGGTTCTTGATAAAAGTCATAGTAGATCTAGTTTGAGACTGGAATTATCATGTGTGACAAACTCTCTTTCTGCTCCCCTGCACAGGTTTGCCACAGAACTGCAGCCATCATTTGAGCACTGGAATTATCATGTGTGACAAACTCTCTGCTTCCCTGCACAGGTTTGCCACGGAACTGCAGCCATCATATGAGGTTGCCTCACACTTCAGACCCTACCCTGTTGGTTGTGCTGCCCACCCTATAGGGCTTTATGTGCGAAGGCATGCCTTCCTTCTCCCTTACAATCTCAGGGGACACTGGACTGTTTTTAATATGTTCATTATTTTACTAATTTTTATTCCTATTTTATCAGTCTGCTTAACAGAGTCCTGAGAACTCTATTTAAAGTAGCCATTTCTACACTTTATTTTAAAATGTGGTCATAAATTAACAAATATGTCATAATGTTATTCCTGTTGAACACTCTGTGGCAAATGAATTAGTTGGGTTTGAAATGCTTTGCCTCCTCCCTCTCCCCTTCTAGAGGAGCAGAGGAAGTTTTTAATTTCCCAATACCAATAAGTGGCTATTCTATCTGCTTAAGCCACTTAATGATATTGGGAAACTGAAAGCAGATGGGAAATTGACAGCAAGCCATCTGCTTTTGGTTCAGTCCCATTGATGGCAGATGCTGGAAATGAACCAAAACACACTGATCTTCCCCACACCTACAAAAGAACAGCCCCTGACAGGAACCTAAAAAGGTGCGGGTGGGAATTATGGTGGGATGGTCTGGTTCACACTGGCACTTATATTGTGTGGTTGTCTGAAAAAGGAGCGAACCAGCCCATCCACAGAGCAAGCCGAACAGCAGGGCATCTGCTCCCAGACTCTGCAAGTCCCTCCCAAGGAAAACTGGATTTACTTCCCCTCTGTTGGCTTTCTGCTGGCAGACAAAGCAGATTTTTGGCAACCTGCTGATGTTTCTTTTAAAGGATGTGCTTTTAATTGCTCTTCTGTGTTTTCATGTTATTGGTTTTGGTTTGATGTTGCTCCGGTTGCTAAGTTAGCCTTGCGTACCCTTTATTGGCAGAAATTTAATTCATAAAACCAATAAATAAATAATATTAGCCACGAGTTTCTCCCCTCTACCCTGAAGCTGAGAAACACCAAATATTTTTTCTCATCAACTTCTCTCTCTGTAACTGACATAAAAGATTAAAGCCTTAAAGATATAAAATGGTGGAGGAAAAGAAAGCTAAAATCTGTTTCTAGCCTCTAAATGGTTATAAAACAGCCAATTTAACTTAATGGAGCAGTTAAAACAAACGATTAATGAATCCAGCCACCATTATTACCATGTTTTAATGGGAAGCAGAAAGACTGTGTTTATCTAGGGTCTTAAATTTTTACTATAAAATAACACTGAAAAAAAATTAACAAAAAAACCTACACATTAGCAAACTGTGCAAGTATTATGTGTTTAAATTCTGACTGTGTAAACTCTTTCTTGTTCTGTTTCTTTATTAATGTGACTGTCTGGACTGTAGCAAACAACGGTAGAAACAATGCTTCCACACCTATGGACATTTTTCTTGCTGATTTTACTGAATCATGCAGAGGCTGAGAGTTATCAGAATATTAGTCAAGGTAAGATGAAATGTTTTCTGTGGAACAGAAAAACACAGTTTGCTTATTAGGAACCCCAAAGATGCTGTCGGGCAATTTGGCAGTATGTAGGAAAATAAAATAGCAGATTTCCTGTCAAGATTATAACCAGCTTTTGGACATCATAATATTTGGCTCGTAGCAAAAACAATAGAGAACATGCATTCTTACTTAGGTGGAGGCAGTGTCTGTGTTTATAATTGCTATTCACCTTTTTAATAACTTTTTCCCCAGACCTCTCTTCACAGATACAAAGAACTGTGGTCAGTATTTTTTTTAAAGTATTTGATTATTTTAGCAATATTCCATATCTCTCTGTGTGAAAATGTTACTGCATGCACTTATTTTTTCTTTTTCAGGAAGAAGTCATAGCTGGGAATTATCTCAGTGGTAAATGTGCACTAATTTTCTATTTATTATTATTGTTATCTTTATGTGATATTTATGTGACTATGTTAACATTTCTTATACGTCTCTCTTCTTTAGCTCTCCTTGATATACTTCATTATCAAAGGTAACTTATTATTAAAGCCCCTTCCTGGGCGTTATAATTATGGCGGGAAGCCAGTGTGATGTAGTAGATGAAGTGGATGACTAAGATTTAGGAGATCAAAGTTGAAATCCCTACTTGCAAATACCATTGGAGGGGACATGTAAAGTATGGTCTCTTAATACCTAAGGCCCAAAGTTTGTGGACTATAACAATGACTAGCCACTTCATGAGCATTTCAACAGTTGCATCCCATCAGATACTGGGAGAGAAAGTGGAGGAGACAATGCTGAGTTTCCAGTAGTTTTGCATTTTTTGATTAAATTCCCCTAGCTAGGTAGCAGAAATACACGGATTCACAGAGCAGAATAGCTTAAAGTTTCCCAGATTAGTTCACTCCTTTTCTCATTAACTGGCATTTATAGTCACAATAATTCACTCTGAGACATTATTTATTTATTTCCCACCTATCTGGTCAAACGACCACTCTAGGCGGCTTTCTATTCCATCATTAGCAATAGAAAGAATGTAGAAAGTTTCATTTACTTACAGATCAACAGCAAATTGACAGACATTACTGCTTTGAGCAAGAGACCTCAACAGACTCAAGAGAGGGAAAAAAAGCAGCACTCAGCAGAAAGGGAGGGCTCTCTTTGAGATCAGAGGCAGGAGGGAACTATTGGTTAATGCTGGATAGATTGACAGTCACGCCTGCCTCCAAACCACACCTACTAGAGGCAGCATGTGAGTTGCAAAGATTCAAACAACATGCACACTAAATGCAGAACTTAAAATTGTGGATATTAAAGCAAGGACAAAATAGACGGGAGGACAGTACACTGTGTACCATAGGCCAGTGGTTTGTAAACATTACATTTTTAAAAATTAAAAGTAACACTTTGTTCATTTTGTAAAATGAGCAAATAACTGTTTAAATTGTATCCCCACTGTAACAATCAGACATTTTCAACATTTAAGGAATTCACTTGCCTAAGAACATGCTCTCTGTAATATTTAGTTTGACTCTGAAGCTAATTACTTATGAAATGCAACTTTGCAAGCTGTGGTTTCGTGGAAGACAGACCCAGCCACTCCTTGCTGTGTTTTGCCTACAGAACATGTATTCTGCAACCCTTTGAATCATAATTAATTGTAACAAGCTGCTACCCAGGAAAAGCAAAAGGTGCCATTAGCAGGATATCTTTTGACTGGCACAGTGTTACTGTTATATCCATAACAGCCAATATGTGAAAACGATGAAAATGAGCTGTAACCAGTGTCAAGCGCACATGAGCCCAGGCCTTGCCCTCCAACATGGCCATAAGAAATTTGGAAACTTTTGGTTCTGTTTTAGATTAACATGAGCTTGCTATATTATCTAAATCTGGACAAACATTGGACAAATGTCTATGGTTATTTTTTAAAAAAGTAAATTTCAGACTATAGTTCAAGAACTTTGCTTGTTTCAGCTAGGAATTGTAAAGATCAGACTTCAGATGATATGCTAAATCATAGCTAATGTAAAATTGAAGCAAAATATTCCAATTTTTTACCACTCTGTCCATGGGGACAAGAAATGGGGAAGCACATAGTGTGGTTTTTGCCTGAAAGAAACATTAGAGACATTGTATGCATTACATTCTACCAGAGCTTCAAAATGTTCTTTTTTGGAACTATAAGTTATATTCCTCCTCTAGCCAGAATAGCTAGTTGGTGATGCTAGGGAATTCTGGGAGCTGTAGTCCAAAAGGGACCTCTTCCAAGCCTTGCAGCTAGACAAAATGCTATCCCTTAATGATTCCAGCATCAAATCTTCTAAACAATCACAACTCAGAATAGGATTTTTTTAAAATTTCTTAAACTACAAATCCCATAATTCCCCATTCTGGGAATTCTACTTAACAGACAGACATCTAAATTGGGTTCACCCAGGAGAAAGGCCTCAAATGGAAGCTTCTGAGGTTCAACTACGTCTAGCTGTGCTTAACTTCCTCTTCAGACATAATACTCCCAGGTTGTTACTACTCCTATGACAGTATCAGGAAGTTTGGGTGGAGCCTCAAATCTTTCTAGCTGAGCCTTTCTCCCAAGTGAGTTAAATTTAGGAATCTGGCTACCAAGTAGACCTCTCATAATGGTGAATTATGAGGTTTGTAGGCCAAGAAATCAAAATATTCATCTCTACTTACAACCCATCATGACAGATGGAGGATACTTTGGTGAGGTGAGAACAGAACTTAGGTAATCACACTTTTGTGTGTGAATGAACAAAACAAATGCTGCTTTAGTACAGCACAGGTGTACATAGCCTCTAAGGATTAAAAACTAGCAACTTAGGTGCCTGACACAGTGGGATCCTGTGTGAAGAAACTATTTTCTTGCTGGTGATTAAACTTTATTTTCAAAGTACATGAATATGAAGAAGCACCATGAGATGGTACAGGCACTAGCCAATACAGACTCACTACAAGACTGTTCAATAAATCTTAAACTTCCCAAAGGTAAGTAGTACCTACTAATAAAAGCCATATTGCTGTATTAGTAGCAGCATGGACTTACCATAGTATCCTATCAGTGTATTTTAACTTATTGAATATGCTTCTTTTTACTTCTTTTTACAGTACTAACATGTGGACAGCGGATCTGCTTAACAAAATCCTTGCATATGTCCATGCTCAGAATATTGTAATTACTTCTGCTAATTTGCAGGTTTGTATATATTGATGTCCTGCAATGATTTCAATAAAACTACGAAAGAATGTTAAGAATATTTAGGAGTGAAGTCTGATGGTTCTTCTCTGGTGTAGCTATGATTAAGATATAGAATCGGGGCCTGTCCTATCTTGAAGAGAGGCCGTGTTGTGCCCTGGGCCAGAGAAAGGAAATATTTGTTTTCTTGGACTACAGCTCCCACAGCCCTGCAGCTACGGGATTCTGGGAGTTATAGTTTAAAAAACCAAAATGTTTCCTATCTCTATCCTGAGCAAAATTGTTAATAGGAAAAGAGTGTGCTTTCTAAGCAATGTGCCCCATGAGCGCTTACAATCTGTAATGTACTGGTACATTTTTATATACAATGTTCATTATAACAGGCCCCCAAATGTAGTCCAAACAGTGCTGATAACTATGCTTATCCTATTCCACAAACCCAGATCTGGAAGTTTTTATCTCTATCACAAGCCTGTCTTTTGTCAGGCTAATAGGTCTTAATTCCGTATTCAAGACCAAGCCATTCCAAAGTACTTTGCTTTGCAACAGGAACATCAACACCGTGGTAGAAAAACTCATTGCCTCCTGCTACTCTGAGGGCTGCAAATGCACTCGGAGAGGGAGGCAACCGGAAGTGGCGACAAATGTCTTCATCACCTCTCATTCAAAAAGCCATGCTGCTTTGACCCTGAGAGCCGCTTGCAGTGGTGCCTTTCCAGCCTCATGTGCAGTATTGCGAGATTCAAGTGGTATCAAAGACCACCATGCAGCTTCCTAGGAGATTGCATCCAGTCCAGCCTTCACTAGGATCTCCCCCTTCACGGATTGCTGCCTTGTCGTGGCAAAGGGGCTCGAGTCATTCAGAGAAGCTATGGGCTATGCCGTGCAGGGACACCCAAGACGGACAGGTCATAGTGGAGAGTTCCAACTAAATGCAATCCACCTGGAGCAGGAACTGGCAAGTCACTCCAATCTTTGCCAAGAAAATTCCATGAATAGAAACAAAAGGCTAAAAGATATGATGCTGGAAGATGGGCCCCTCAGGTTGGAAGATGTCCCACATGCTACTGAGGAAGAGTGGAGGACAAGTACAAGTAGCTTCAGAGCTAATGAAGTGGTTGGACCAAAGCCGAAAGGACGCTCAGCTGCGGACGCGCCTGGAAGTGAAAGGAAAGTCTGATGCTGCAAAGAAAAATACTGCATAGGAACCTGGAATGTAAGATCTAAGAACTTTGGTAAGTTGGATCTGGTCCAACAGGAGATGGCAAGAATAAACATTGGCATCCTGGGCGTCAGTGAACTAAAATAGACGCGAATTGGCAAATTCAATTCGGATGATTATATCTACTATTGTGGGCAAGAATTCCATAGAAGGAATGGAGTAGCCCTCATGGTCAACAAAAGAGTGGGGAAAGCTGTAATGGGATACAATCTCAAAAATGATAGAATGATTTCAATACGAATCCAAGGCAGACCTTTCAACATCACAGTAATCCAAGTTTATGCACCAACCACCAATGGTGAGGAGGCTGAAAATGCCCAATTCTATGAAGCCTTACAACACCTTCTAGAACTGACACCAAAGAAAGATGTTCTTCTCATTCTAGGGGATTCGATTTGCTAAAATAGGGAGTCAAGAGATAAAAGGAACAACAGGTAAGTTTGGCCTTGGAGTTCAAAATGAAGTGGGGCAAAGGCTAAAATCCTGGTGGGAGCAGCTGTACAAAGCCTGGGAAAAGCAAACCCCTCCTAACCCTTGTCTGCTGGACATTGGTGACATTGCAAGGGGTTATCCACTGGACATCCCAATGGTCCACCCCTTGGTCTCAGGATTTGGCCCTGAGCTCTCAGGGAGAGAGGTTGCTTCTGATCTTGCAGCTCTCAAAATATAGTATTGGATGCAACTCTGTGCATATGCTAGGCAAGTTTAAGGAGGGGAAAGAAACAAATGCTATAGACAGTCCACGATTAGAAGAAGCAAATCCATAACTAGTAAAAACATCTGAGTGCAGGAGCTTTGCTTGTCTCCAGGACTATGCAAATTAGCCTACTTTTTTGGTGATAGGTCCCTAGAACTTAAGCACAGGCTTTCTCCATCACAAAAAAGAAACCTGACTCATTCATCTTTCTTTAACATCAGTGTGCTTCAGGCCCTCATTGTGGGCTATTTATAACATCTGTTTCTGTGCCAGGCCTGGTGCTTTCATCTTGGCTTGCTAGGGAAGAAAAGTGTCTCTGGTTTAATTATCCCTTAAAGGTTTTTTGGAGAGCATTTCCTAAATGTGAAGGACCAAAGATTTTATACCCTGGATTGAATCCCCTTGTTTATCCTGGCATAAAGAATTTTCATGCCTACATTGGGGGGAGGGGGCAGGGGGGATAATGAATTTTACATTCTTTCTTCTCTTCACCTCTTTACCCTGTTTTTCAGGTTTCTATCAAAAATTACCTGGAGAATCTCTTATCCCATCCCAAAGTGTTGTTGTCAGAGTTTCAGCAGATGAATCATCGGCGTTTTCACACTGCACTGAAATATCTCTTTGGTAAAGAGCAGGGCTATCTGGTAAGGTGGTTTTGGTTATGGCACATGACAAGTGGAACAGTCCACAACCATATCAACTTTTTGTTACATTTTGCATAATCAGGGTGGGGAAAAGTTGGCCCTCTGGATGTTGGGCAACTGAACTGTGAAGTCTTATTCCAAATAGCCAGTGAAAAGAGGTTTTATGAATAGTAGCCCCATAAGGACTGAGTACTGGTCACAGAATTAGAACTGCTGGGGTGTGGGGAGAACCAGGTCCATGGGGTGGGTACCTTGTATGAGAGTGGGACGTGGTAGTGCTGCAGGTTAAACAGCAGAAGCCTCTGTGCTTCAAGGTCAGAAGACCAGCCGCCGTAAGATCGAATCCATGCGACAGAGTGAGCCCCCGTTGCTTGTCCCAGCTCCTGCCAACCCAGCGGTTCAAAAGCATGCAAAAATGCAAAATGCGAGTATATAAATAGCTACCACCATAGTGGGAAGGTAACAGCATTACAGTATGTACCTAGTGCTGGCCACATGACCACGGAAACTGTCTTCAGACAAACGCTGGCTCTACGGCTTGGAGACGGGGATGAGCACCACACCCTAGAGTTGGACACGACTGGACCAAATGTCAAGGGGAACCTTTACCTTTACCTTTTACCTTGTATGAGAAGGCTGGCTTAAGAGGTTCAAGAAACACTTCACCACTGCAGTCGTTATTGCAGGATCCACATGCCACTGCTCCCAGTCATTTCTATATTTATACTCTTTGCTAAACAGGAATTGGGAAATGTTGTTATCGACCTAGCTGGGATAAGAGAAAGGATTTTCCAAAGTCCAGGAGGAAACAGAACCTTGTTCCATATTATTCTGGAGAAATGCTTTCCAACACTGGATTCGGCAGAATGTGTCGGTGCATTAAGTCAGATCCTTCGAGAATCTTCAGTTACTTACCTCCAGGCTTACACCATATCAAGCCTCCCAAAACATCTTCCAGAAGATGCTTTTCGAAACCTGTAAGCTCCTTTCTTCCCTGTTCATTCTTCTAGGTGATGACTGGTTTTGGAAAGATGACCTAAGGGTTCACCTTAGCTTTCAGAACATTTGGGGGATATTTTTTTAAGTTGTACTGGAGGATCCTGAAACTGTTTGGCTAATGTTAGCAAATGAAACACTGGTAATCCATCCTGTATTACACGTCTCTTTTAGATCAATGGTATTCAAAGACCTATATGACAGAATACCAGCAACTGCACAACGGGCTTTGTATGGTTGGATGACACAGATCCTACAAAGGAACTACAGTGTTGATGGTAGGTTAAATATGAATAATTGGCAAGATGTGTCCCCTCCGCAAACCAGGGAATTCACAATAACCACCTGGTAGAATTCGGCATCCACAGTGGTTACAGAATACAAACCTTGTTGGTGGCAGGTGGGCAGGCTTAGGGTTAGGGTGGAATGGAATGCATTTGAGGAAAGGGCTTGGCTGCTGGTACATAGGTTGGTTCTAAACCCTAAAAAGAAGCGCAGCGAATGTTGACATTTTGTTGATGTCCCCTTTTTTAAAAAAATCAACTATATTTTCAGTTATTAATATTTTAATGTTGTGGGTATTCCAGATTCAGAGAATTCGTCTTCATGGGTCAGTGCAGAAAGCCTTTGGATTCTAGGAAGATATATGATTCATCTCCCAGTAGAAACAATCAGAAAAATTAATCCCTATGAAGTAAGTGAAAAAAATGAAGCCTGTGCAATACTTTCAAGTTTTGTGGGGCTATTTGCTTATGGTTGTTGTGGGTTTTTCGGGCTTCTTGACCGTGTTCTGAAGGTGGTTTTTCCTAACTTTTCGCCAGTCTCTGTGGCCGGCATCTTCAGAGGACAGCAAACTTTGCTATTTGCTTACTTAGAGATCTGCTGATGAACCTTACAAATGCAAAGGAGTCTTTTCTTATTCAGTGATGGAACAGACAACATGAGCAATTAGAACCACAACAAAATGCTACAATATGCGCAGCAACGGCACCAAAACAGAAGCTGCTTGTAGAATTGCAAAGTTCAAGGGCCCCTTTTAATTCAAATTCAGATAACAATTCAATGCATTTTTTTCTCAAATGGGTTGGGTGTCCAATAGCCAGAAAAATCGGATTCCATGTGAAATCTTCAAAACCCTAAAACAAAATATCAGTTCAACTGTATGCAATTCATCAATTCAGTAGGTGGATTCACCCCTCCAGCACAACCATATAGGAATGATGCCTAAACCAAGCTGGCAGGGGCCTCAGCAGTCCAAGCAGCCATGGCAACTCTCCTTTTCTTTCTCCATCCTGACCAAGCTGGCAGGGGCCTCAGCAGTCCAATTCTTTCTCCATCCTAACCCTTTAGGCTGAACCGGTATTTCATAGGGATTACGCATGCACCCAATACTGACTATGGAATCATTCCTTTGCAGTCAAATCAATTATTGTAGTTTCCGAAACTGTTAATTAAAGGCACATAAGGCATATCGACACAACCCTCTTGGTGTTCCCGGTGAATGTTTCCAATGTCGCTCTCCCTGAAATGCACTGAAAGTTCTATGTGAAAAACTTGCAGGATTGGTTCAGTGGATGCAAAATAGGATATGATGAGGGTGATGTGAAATGTCTGTCAGAGATCAAGTGGGTGCATCCTGGCACAGCATTTCCTGAGTCATGCATCCCGGGAATGTATTTGCTTCCACTCTGTGATTGGTCATACCCACAGGTTTTATTTATATGCCTTATTGTACAGGCATAGCGTCTTTGAACGATTTGTTTCTGTTGGGATAACCCTCTGGTGGAATAACATTTTCACTTTCTAAGTGTGAAGACGGCATCTGATAATTTTGGATTGATAATTATTTGGGGCAAAATAGATCTCTTTCTGACCTTCTCAGAATATTGGCAAAAATCTTGTTAGTTGCTCCTGCAAGCATAAAAACAAACAATATAACTCTTGGTGGCAAATTGCGTCATACTGAATCGACAATTCAGGGTGCAACAACTAGTATCCCCAGTGATTCCTTTACTTGAGGGAATTCACCTCCAAAAATCATGCAGTTTGCATTAGGCCAGTGCAAAATCCTAGTAAGATTTTGGCTTCAAGAATTAGAGACATTTTATATGGCTTTGTCTGTATCTATCTGTGAAATGGACGTTTAATGTACTTCGTTGGTTCAGTCCCTAATCAAACATCTTTCTCTTTTATGTCAATTAGATGAGCCTGTACATCAGCTACGACAATGCCACAAAGCAGCTTGATACTGTCTTTGGTATCACCCCAGATCATGCCCACGCTTTCTTGGAAAGAATAAACGCATCCGGCTTCGATATGAAAAATACTTCAACTCTCTATAGGCGAGTCCTGTTATTTAAGATTATGTTTTTTGCAGGCTGTGCATGGGAAAATGAAGGTGCTCAGTGTTCCAAGGATTCCTTCTCATATGTTACATTGGCGATTTTGATGAAGGACAGTATTCAGACAGACCATAGTTCTATTGCCTTAATGATTATTGTGGTGCTGTTCCAGGAGGGCTGTGTAACCTAATGAAATCTCTCATCTGGCTCAAAGTTAATTACTCTGAGCTAAATGGCAGGGTAATTAGAACATTATATTATCTTGGTCTGGTCCTCACAACAGTCTCAGAAGGTAGAACAATATTATTCAAACAGAGACCGGGTGGCTGTCTTTCACAAATGCTTCAGCCATGGATTTCCTGCCTCAGCCATTGGAACTCATCTATGATTCTACACTTCAGAAGAGGAATGGAGCGAGCACAATGTCAGAACTATTTTCTTTTCTTTTCTTTTTGTTACCGTAGGACAATGTCCTAATGCCTGAGGCACTTAAGTCAACATTAACCCTACAATTCTAGAATCCCATCACCCTCATTTAACAGACAGAGGAAGTGCTGTGTTGTTAAATTCATGGCAAAGAGGACTCCCTGTTCATGATGTAAATGGGCTTGATACCAGGGTAATGTGTGCAGGATTACACCTGGCTTAATACACTCTATATCAACTGCAACTCACTGATGGTATGTGTAGGGAAAAAGCTTGCTATTAATGTCTGTGTCCTTTCATACAGATTAGGTTTGTTGGTTTGTTTTTACAAAGACCTGGAAGAGGTGGATGCCAATGTGGCCCGGGTTTTGCTTCACCAAATGATTAAATGTAACCAACTGAGAGGTTTCCAGGCTGACATTCAGAAGGTGAGTTTAGAACAGGAGTGAACAGTAACGAAATCTCACCCTTCTCCCATCTTTGTCAAGTCTTCTACCCTTCCTATTATTTAGTTATTTATTTGATTTATATCCCGCCCATCTGGTCTGGTCGACCACTCTGGGCCTCTTCTATCCTGACATCATCCTATGGTGCTTTCCCAGTTATTTCACATCGGTCTCCCCCATTTTAAAATTGGATTAAGTTGAAGAGTCATCCAGAAGGCTTACACAGAGCTCATGCAGAGGGAGGGAGGAAAAGTCTTCTCCGGTTAGTCACGATTTGTTGATGAAAGACAGTAGAGCTTGCCAAGTCATGTGTCCAGACAGCTTTAGTTACAGCTTTAAACCCTTCTCCAATCCTTCAGAAATAAAATCTTAAATCAAATCCACTGCCCTGATAGAGCACCACTTCTGGGACTATTTTTTGTTGGAATTCTGTTTTAGTAAAAAAAAATTTTTTTTTGTACTAATGAAAAGCATCTTCCTGGGCTAATAAAAAGCTTCCTGCTCGGAGCTTTTGACACAGAAATATCAAAGTCAGTGTTGGAATGTGAGCTTTAATCTCTAGAGCAAAATTCATGGTCGCTGCGGGCTTGTATTCAAACCCTTCAACAAGGGTTGAGTGAGACCTGGTGAAAATTCATGGTGAGAAAATATTGCCAAAAAAAAATTAAACATGATCTCAGAAGATATGTTCCTTTTAGCAACTAGGAATTTAACTGAGGAGGAATTGAGGGACATTTTTTCAGAGCAGACCCATGTCAACATGGGTGAAGTATTAGAGTAAACTCTTAACTCTTTAATGACTAGAAGTGGCTCATCATAGGCATCGTTCAGTCTCGAGAGACTATGGTAACGTGCTCCGTATGGAGGACTTTGACACTGTATGCGAAGCTGGAGTGTCCTCTCCAGAGCACGAAGCCTGGGTAAAATAATATGGAGGATCGGCTGTAACCCAAGCAGCAAATCCCCCCTCCCCATCGCTAAAATAGTCCAATGGAAAGGCAAGAGCCAATACAATTGGTTCCAGCAATGTCTCAGGAGTTGACAGAACAACACAAACTCCAGATTTTGTCTAGAGGTTAACTCCTGAAGCCTTTTCCATCACTGGATATAGCCACAAGGCAGTGGAGGTTTGAAATCTGAGTTTTCCTTCTCCTAGATGGGCTGCCTTCCCAGGTTAACGAGTCCCACCTACCCGGGCTGCTCCCTCGCCGCATGACACATTAGCATTAGAGGAAGTCAGAGGAAGAAGAAAATAACCAAACCATGGCTAGTTGCAGCCTTTTCATTAGTGGGGTTCCAAACTGGCTGGAATGCTCAGTGGTTTAGTTCTCTGGCCGTGGAGGCGGAGGTTGGGAGTTCGATTCCTCCACTGGGCCTCCTGTAAGTAGAGCCAGCCTGGGTGACCTTGGGGAAGCTGCAAAGACCCAGGACACCCCCAGTGGAAGGGAAGGGGAAACCACTTTTGAGTAGTCTCTAACTAGAAAATCCTGAAAATTGACTTAACGGCACATGAAAAAAAAAGTGGGGTTCCCAGGACACCCCCAGTGGAAGGGAAGGGGAAACCATTTCTGAGTAGTCTCTAACTAGAAAATCCTGAAAATTGACTTAATGGCACATGAAAAAAGAAGTGGGGGTCCTACTTCATGCCAGCAACTTAAAATCCTCTTTACATATCTCACACAAAGCTCAAGACGACATAGGCGCTGTTTGAAAATACAGTGGACCCTTGACTTACAGACGGCTTGACTTACAGACTTTTTGAGTTACAGACTTCTCTGGCTGCAAAATTTAGGTTTGACTTGCAGACTGAGATTTGACTTACAGACCAGAAAAAAACCAACATGGAACAAAAACGGCCTGTTACGGGATTAATCGGTTTTCAATGCACTGTAGGTCAATGGAGACTTGACCTACAGACTTTTTGACTTGAGAACCGCCTTCCAATACGGATTTTCTCAAGTCAAGACCCCACTGTACTTTGTTTAAGTGCGGTGTACTTTGCTAGTTGAATCTATGCAGTCAGAAGCAAGCATTGCTGAGCACAATGGAGTATGTTTTCAGGGAGCCATGCATGTAGGAACATAAGTCATGCTGGTCTTTATAAATTTTATGATGTGCATCATACTACTGCTCCTTATGTGCTCTTTCTGTGTGTATTTATAGCAAAAGTATAAATGTTCTTTATGGAATACAACTCCCATCACCCACCCACCAAACAGTATGGGAGTTGTAGTCCAGAAGAGAAACATGTCCAGTCTCTGAGTTACATAGAAACACTGCTGCCATGATCCATTGAATTCAAAAGGGATGGCTATGTACTGTATGTCGCTGTTAGCCTTCCTCCATCAACTCTGTAAAGGACTTTTTTCATGGTTTCAGCTCAAATCCCAGCTTCTTGACATTGCCATACAAAACCAGACGCTGAATGATACTCTTGGGTCGCTCTCCGATTCTGTTGTGGGCCTGACCACCAACCAGCTGGAATCTCTTTCACCGGAGGCTGTGCACAGCACGATCCCCACATTAAACCAAGTATCTGGATGGTCCAAAAGCCAAATCATGATTTTATCCAGCAAGTACCTGATGTATGAAAAGGTATGTTGAGGGAATTCCATGCAAATGGAAGGAAAAAGCAAAATATGTTCACAAAACCACATCAGTACCACAATAGGTATTGAGATTGACCCAGTCTGAGAAATATGAAGCTGGGTCATGGTTTGTTTTAATTCCATAGTGGTTCAAAAATGGACAGTAGTGTACTTTATACTGTATTTTACCTTGGGTAGCCCAGGTGTTCTTCAACTGCAATTCCCATAAGCCTTCACCAACAGCTGTGCTGGCCGGGTTTCTAGGAACTGCAGTCCAAGAACATCTGGTTTACCCAAGGTTGGGAAAGACTGTTATAGATTATAATTGTTACAGTGGCTGGAATCCTCTTGGTGTCTGCATAAGGTCAGCGTAACTTGCTGTGGCTAATTGCAGCTAATTAACAAAGTGCTTGGGTTCCATGATAACTGCAGATGGTGACAGCAGCCATTAAATTAAAAGACACCTTCTTCTTGGGAGGAAAGCGATGACAAACCTCGACAGCATCTTAAAAAGTCAAAGCTATGTTTTTTCCTGTACTGATGTATGGAAGTGAGAGCTGGACCATAAAGAAAGCTGACCGCCGAAGAATTGATGCTTTTGAACTGTGGTGCTGTAGGAGACTCTTGAGATGGACTGCAAGGAGAACAAACCTATCCATCTTGAAGGAAATCAACCCTGAGTGTTCACTGGAAGGACAGATCCTGAAGCTGAGGCTCCAGTACTTTGGCTATCTCATGAGAAGAGAAGACTCTCTGGAAAAGACCCTGATGTTGGGAAAGTGCGAGGGCAAGAGGAGAAGGGGACGACAGAGGAAGAGATGGATGGACAGTGTCACTGAAGCTACCAACATGAATTTGACCCAACTCCGGGAGGCAGTGGAAGACAGGTTGGCCTGGCGTGCTCTGGTCCATGGGGTCACGAAGAGTCGGGCACGACTAAACGACTAAACAACAACAAACAAAGTGCTGGGGTGCATCTCGGTTGTGCAACTGGGTGCATGACAAGACACCCAACTGAGATGCACCCCAGCACTTCATTAATTAGCCACAATTAGCTGCAGCAAATTACACAAACTTGGATATTAATATGAGACCTAAAATGAAACACATGTCGCTTTTTAAATAAAAGCACCGTCAGTTTAATTAACTTTCTGTTCCAAGTGCAAACAATGAACTCACACAATTGATTCAATAGTCATTATCTGCATTTCAGTCAAATTCAATGTACAGTGAATGGCAGTCAGACTGAGAAAACATAGAGTCCTACTAGAATAAAATGTAGAAAAAAGAGAGGAGCAAATTCGGGGAGTACAAGGGGACAGAGAAAGAAAAAAGACCAGTGGGGAGGGATCCCCGGAGGAGAAGGTATATGAGGCAGCACCATTCTGCCCACAGTCAAACCCCAATGAACCAACCAAACCTCATGCATATAGATCAGTTTATACATGTACTTACATAGATGAAGTCTTAGCATATGTCAAATACATTCAAAAATTGCAAGAGCAGTTACATTTTCTTCTAACTGTGTGATTGCTCAGGTTTTCACTCCTATACATCCTTCATTTACACACACAGACACACACTTGAAAACATACTTTGTTTTTATTGCATCTCTTATGGGAACGTAATTATAACTATGATGACTGGAATATGTATTTAAAATGATTATGGGAACGTAATTATAACTATGATGACTAGAATATGTACAGTATTTAAAATGACTTTATCCTGCATGAACCCAAACAGGTTAGACAGGGAATACCCATAGCCCAGAAGACTTCTGCATACATTGTGCAAAAAACACATGACTATTCTACATGACTGTTCAATTCATATCCCAACTTTTCTCCCAAGAGCTCTGAGTGGTCCTTCTTCCAGTTTTATTCTAACAACAACCCTGTGATGTAGGATAGTTTCATGGGAGCTTTGTGGCCATGGGGATATGAACCTTTGTCTTACACGTTTCTAAACACTCTAACCTGTACTCTCCAGAAACCATGACAAATCTGCTGAGATGTCTTCCTTTTGCTTCCTGCCTAGGCTTTGTCATTTTATAATGTCAGCCAGATGGGGCCTTTGATGATTGGGATTAGCACTCAGTTGTTTCACAGCATGAACCCCAGCGAGCTGGCTCAGGTCATTAGAGGAGCATTAGTTCAACAAGCAGCTGATTTGTCACCTGCCCAACGACAAGGCATCCTCCGGAAGGTATTGATAAACCTTTGTGTGTAAAGAGTCGGCAAATGAAATCCAAACACCTGATTTTTACAGGATTGGATTGGGCAGAGAGGGGACAACCATCCGATTCAACTTCTTTTGCTAGTTTAACTCCTGCCACCTTTAGGGCTCATCCAGACAGAGCGTTTATTCAATCCAAATGTACTCCAAGTCTAGCAACTAACATTCTTGGTATTTTTCCTCCCATCCACCTGATGTAAGGCTTTCCTTGCCCAAAAAAGTGACAGACAGTGATAACATCTCCTCCCCATTTTTTCTCCCCTAAAGACTGATTGCGTTTTGCTTTGGTTTGTTGTGTGTGTGTTTGGGGGGGGGGTAAAGTTTAATACAATGACACTTCCCATTAAATTAATTTTTGCAGTTATAGTTTCTCAGACAGAAACTTTCAATTTGCAGTCAGTTACCATGCACAATGCACAAGACAAACCCTGATAGGAGAAGGTTTGTAAGAATATTTTTGAAAAGATGTCTATATCTTCTTAGCTGAGACACGAGGAGAAAGAGGTATTAAAAGAGTGTGTTTCTAACAGGACAGGAATTCCAGGAAGCCCCTGTACTTCCTGATGATGCAAAAGTACAACCCAAGAGAAAATGGGGGGGGGGAGTTTTTCTCCCAGCATGAAGAATCCACAAAGGGTGTTGGAAAGTTCCTTTTCTACACCACAACTCCCAGCATCCCCATCCTGTCTGAAAAAGGGAGCTTTCCCAAGGTTGACACAAAGGACGCGCACTGTTCACTCAAGTACGAAAGAGGCTCATCTCACTGATCCTTGACCTACGAATAGGGGGGAAATGCACAGAAACAAAGGATTGTGATAGCCTCAGGTGGAAGAATCCATGCTAGCAAGCTGTGGATTGGTTGAACTGTGAAATCACCTTTGGGGGATTCAGCATCTTTCTCTGGGCATCTGATCTAGCACGGTAAATCCACCATCTGTAAGAGCTGTTTTTGCTTCCTATGCTGTGCTTGCATGCATGGCCCACCATCCCATTAGGCTGGCCCTGGAAGGAGGCAACTTTCTCAAATTACTTTCAGTTATCTAATTTATTATTTCTGGGCACGTAACAAGAGCCTCCATGCAAAAATCAAATGGACCTCACGGGGGCATGACACGGTATGTAACAAGAGCCTCCATGCAAAAATCAAATGGACCTCACAGTACGTAGGGCTCCTTTCCTGCCATAAGGACTTAAAGATAGAAGTAGGTTACTTCCTGGATCCTCAGTGTGTTTGAATCCACCCTGGCTTTGTGCTCAGTGCATTGTTTAGCTTGTGAGTTACCTGTGGTATCACATATTGCAAATACTGCTGTTGATATTTGTGTGTTGCCTCCATGCAAAAATCAAATGGACCTCACAGTACGTAGGGCTCCTTTCCTGCCATAAGGACTTAAAGATAGAAGTAGGTTACTTCCTGGATCCTCAGTGTGTTTGAATCCACCCTGGCTTTGTGCTCAGTGCATTGTTTAGCTTGTGAGTTACCTGTGGTATCACATATTGCAAATACTGCTGTTGATATTTGTGTGTTGGTGGAGATGGATCAAAGACAAAAAGTAGGACTCTTCCATGAACTCAGTAAAGCTGTTTCTGCCCCTTGATGTATCTCAATAGCTGGCTGGCTGGCTCAGTGAGTTAGACAGAGGTTGGGAGTTTGATTCCCCACTATGGAGAAGAACCAACCTGGATGGCCTTGGGCAAGCTCCACAGTCCCAAGGTTGCCCCAGAAGAAGGAGAGGGCAAACCACTTCTGAGTCCTCTCTACCTAGAAAATCCTGAAAAGGTCACCATAAATCAGAATTGACTTGACAACATACAAGGTATCCCAGTAAGTGCATATAAAGGTAAAGTAAAGGTTCCCCTTGACATTTAGTTCAGTCGTGTCCGACTCTAGGGCAGGGTGCTCATCCCTGTTTTTTAGCTGTAGAGCCAGCTGTCCTCTGAAGATGCCGACCACAGAGACTGGTGAAATGTTAGGAAGAACAACCTTCAGAATATGGCCAAAGAGCCTGAAAAACCCACAACAACCATTAGATCCCTGCTGCGAAAGCCTTTGCGAATACATTGTAGAGCCAGCATTTGACCAAAGAAAGTTTCCGTGGTCACGTGGCCAACACGACTAGACATGGGATGCCGTGAGCTTCTCACTGAGGTGGTACCTATTTATCTACTCACATTTTTACATGCCTTCGAACTGCTAGGTTGGCAGGAGCTGGGACGAGCGACGGGAGCTCACTCCGTCACGTGGATTCAATCTTACAACGGCTGTTCTTCTGACCTTGCAGTACAGAGGCTTCTGCGGTTTAATCTGCAGCGCCACCATGTCCCACCAATAAGTGCATATACAGTGTATTTAAAGAAACCCGGGCTGGGTGGTGGTGGGTCCCTTTTTCTTCAAGGAACTTCCTTGTTCGGCTTCATCAGCAAAGGTCACCCAAAAGAATAACAATGCTTCTGTGTTGGCCTTCATCACAATTGCACATATAGAAAGTCAGCTATAGAGGCTTCTGTACTCAGGCACAGGATTTGCCCTGTTTTATAATGAATAGATTTCTTGAAAGAAGAGTTGGTTTTTCTCTTTTACTTCTCTGTGAGCATGCTGAGTATTTACTCTTAATTCATAGGAATAAGTTCATCTTGCTTAGCCTTCTGCACTTTGCTATCTCTCTCTCTCTCTCTAATTAATATACCACCCAGACCCAATTAGTAAGTTCACACTACTCTGGGTGATGTACAAACATTTTCTAACAATTACACAGAGTCCTAATCACATATTTCTGAGGGATTTTGGAATCCTTTGGACACAGATTCTGGAATACCCGAGAGTGAAAATATCAAGCTTTAGACTCAAGTATTTCTGATTTCAATGTAATTATTTTGCAATAAATATACAGGATTGCTGTCATTGAAATTTACAGCTGTGAGTGTCTTCAGGCAAAACCAAAGGAAGATGCAGACATTCGCTAAACCAAGAACCAAAGCTGAGGATAAGACCAAAGCATTTTCCTCTTTTATTTCTCCTGTAGATGATTTCCTCCACGGATTTGTTGTCTGTAATTGCCGATCTGCAAGGACCCTTTTTAAAAGAAGTGTCACTTTTTGATTTGTGGAAGGGAGAAAGTTTCTACTCTTCCCTCGTGAAAGAAAAAGAACTGAGGCCTAGTCAGGTAATGGAATTTTTCATGGGCTGAAGGTTTTCGGTACCCTGGCAGAATCATTCTGGCGGAACTGGCTGTGCAGAGCCAGTCGCCCGTTCTGCCAAAGAGGCAGAGGGCTGGAATGTGTGAGTAAGGAGCCTGAGGGTCAGATTTTCAATAGCATTCATCTAATTTCTCCTGGAACGATCATTGTTGTTAATAAACAGCCAACGGGAGGGCAGGATAAGATGCTCTTGGAAGGTCCCCCTCCTTTGGGGGACTAGGCTGTCTTCAAAGCATTGCATTGTAATGTACAGTAGCGACTAGGCTGTCTTCAAAGCATTGCATTGTTATGTACAGTAGTACCTCGGTTTACGAACACCTGGGTTAACGTAATTTTTGGTTTACGAATGGAAATCCATTGAAAATAATGCCTCGGTTTATGATTTTCCCCCGCAGTATGAAGCAAGTTTCCCCAGGATGCATTGTGCCTGGAGGGTTGTAGCGCTACTCCTGTTCCTGTGACAAACCACATTTCAGCTTACAAATTTTTCACATTATGTAATGTCCCAGAGAATGCATTAAATTCGTAAACCGAGGTACACCTGTATTGCACAGGCTGCCTTTCTCACCATAGGGGACCCACAGAGGCTCACGACAGCTACAATTATAAAACGTTCGACAGTACTAAAAGCATCATATAAATAACATATTAAAACAATTAAAGCATATATTAGAATTAAAACAATTTTAAAACATTTTAAAATGCATACAGGAATGAACAAGGCTTCCTGACACTCTTTCTGCTTAAAAGCCTACCTGAAGAGGAGGGTCTTTGTCTGATGACATAAGGACAGGAAAGAGGTGGTAAGTCTGCCTTTTTGGGGCAACACATTCCAAACCTGGGAGCACCCACTGAAAAGACCCTGTCGCTTGTCCCCACCAAACAAGCTTGGGAAGGTCGGAGAAGCAACAGAAGGACCTCAGAAGATCTTAAAAGCTGAGAAGACTCATACAGGGTGGTATGATCATTCAGATGTGTCTGAGAGTGCATCCACACTACTCACACTAAAGCAGTTTGATTTCACTTTATTTGCTTTGGATCAATCCAGTGGAAGTTTAGAATTTGTATTCTGGCAAGGGTTATAAAATTCTCTGCCTTAGTTCAAGGGAATGCATTAGAGCATTTTGGAAAGCAATTTAACTCACCAAACTAAAAACCTCCATAGGATTGAGCTGTCAAGTTAAAGTGGAATCCAGATGCTAAAACGGTGTAGTGGAGATATTCCCTGATTCTCTTTAATATGCGGAATCCTGTATATTTACAAATTTAAAGAAACGGAGCATTTAAACTGCATATTGCCTGACAAGAACCTATTGGGAAATTTGGTAAACAAAGCGGGTTTCTAGGATTTTGGTTACTCCTTTAGTGAGCAGAGTATAAGGCAGAAAAAACAGAAATGTGGGGAGATCAGCCTAGTTTCATCAAACACCCTCCCTGAGTTGCACACAAAACTAGCACCTTGTTTGGTAAAAATCATTCCAGAAGCATATCAAGTTAAAAAAAGAGGCATATTTACTTACAGTAAAATATCTGTAGTTACAGTTAGAGGAAAATGGTGGCTTCAGCATGGAGCAGCCCCTGTATGCTTGCTGCTTGGAGGATGGTAGAAGGAAGAAGAGAAAGAGCTAACAACAAAGCAATGGAAGGAAAAACAAACCGAAAAAGGGGCTAGAGACTTGCTGCAAATTCCAACGGCAAGAAAATAACTTTTCCAATCAAGTTAGTGGCAAAGAAAAATCACATTTGACAATAAAGCCACCGCCCACAGCTGCCCAGCATGCAAGATTGGTATTATCCCAACAGAACCTATGACTTTCCAAGAGGTACAGAATGTTGTAATGTCATCTATGTTAGTGTCAGGAGGAAAAAGAAGGACAGAAGGAATCTAGGAGAAGCTTTGGGGGAAAAGTCTTCCTTGTCAGGACTGGTGATTATAAACTGCAACATTTTGTTGTAGAAGTACCCCCCCTCCAAATTGGTACAAACATAATATATTTATGTATTTATCTTGCATTGCAGGCCTTGTATCTTTATGAATTATTATCAAAGAAGACTCCTGTTGCTGAGCTCTTAAGGTAAGAGTGCTAATTCTAGGTAGGTCTTATTCCTGGTTTTGTGTTGAAAGTGTCACCATTGCAAACATTATTTTCTTTCTCCTTGAGAGCAAGACAATTGTGTTCATTCACTGAAAATTTGCCACAAGCAGGAGAAGCCTGTAGAAGTAATAACTGCACGAAGGAAGCAAAGTTGGATCTAGTGTATTTGGACATGCAAGTGCTTCTTCCCAGCAGAAAATTCTGTCTGTGTAGCAGCAGCAACCCTCCTTGGTTGCTGTTTTTACATCTGACAAAGGAGACCGCGCCGTTTGCAAAATGTCGTGTGCTTCTGATTCTGATCATCTTTGAAGCACGGGGGGCGCTTTGTTGTATTGCTCCTTCTTTATGCTTTCTTCTCTATGGGACCTGAGAGAATTATAGAACTGCAGTTCTGGAAGGTCACCCAAAGGTCTACAACACCCCCCTGCCAATATGAGAAGTCCACAGCCAAAGCATCACTGAGAGTCAGGCACGCAGGTGATGTCTTCCATTCTTCCAGGCATATGGAGGGATGCAGGTGATAGGGTCATTAAGGAGCGGTCCAGCCCTCGGCTTTCTGAACTGGTGGAGGAGTCATCTTTTTTCACATCCGTGATGGAGACCGTGCCCTCTGCTGTCGCTGAAGGCATCAGCCTAGCTGCTCCTGCCAGAGATTGGTCAAACAGCATGCACATCGTGCTGGTGTGTGGGGGATCCAGATGGGGAAGCAGGGTAAAGCAAAGCAAAGCATGCTGCTTATAAACCGCCCCCCATAGTGCTTTAAAGCACTCTCTGGGTGGTTTACAAGTTAATTATGCAGGCGACACATGGCTGGCTGCCCCCAGCAAGCTGGGGACTCATTTTACGGACATCGGAAGGATAGAAGGCTGAGTCAACCTTGAGCTGGCTACCTGGGATTGAACCCCGGGCCATGAGCCCAGTTTTGGCTGCAGTACAAGCAGTTTAACCCCTGTGCCACGAGGCTCTTCAGAGTAAAGGAACACATGGCGTGAACCTCCAAATCAAGGTGCCCATCTCAACTCACCACCAAGTCAATTCTACATAGCATTAATGAAGGCTGTATGATTCCTGAATACCCCCACACAGGTGGACATAACGAGGGTCCAGCCCCATAGGGCCGGGCGGTCCACTCACAATTCTGCCCCTGCCACGACCTCTGCGGGTGGACATAACGAGGGTCCAGCCCCATAGGGCCAAAGGGTCCACTCACAATTCTGCCCCTGCCACGACCTCTGCGATCCTTCCAATGGCTCCAGAGATCGTGATTGGCTCATCACCCCTGGGAGGAGGCGGGACGACAAGCCTCCTCGCCAGGTCGAAGAGTGGCTCACTGACCGAGTGCTCCAGAGCCATTGGAAGGATTGCAAAGGTCTCAGCAGCAGTGGAAATGTGAGTGGACCAGTGGAATTGTGAGTGGACCATCTGGCCCCAGAGGGCGGGACCCTCGTTATCGCCACTTGTGCGGAGGTATTCGAAGGTCTCAGCAGCAGTGGAAATGTGAGTGGACCATTTGGCCCCAGGGGGCTGGACCCTCGTTATCGCCACTTGTGCGGGGCATTCATATTCGAATACCTCCCTCTCTAGAGTATACTTTCTTCATCATTGATCCTAGCCAGGCCTATAATCTAATGGTAGAAAACAGGTGCGAGTTTCAGAACCTCATGTCCTACAAACAATAAGCCATTTGTGTTAAAGAACACTAAATTGATAAACAGTGCAATTCAAGGGCTGGAATCCTAGATACATTTGCTAAAGTGTAAACTGAGTAAAACTACTTCTGAATAGATTATGTGAGGTGTCTTCCATGCTAGAACCTTTAAACGCTTACTGCATGTATTTATTTTCTTTTTCCAATCAGCACCGGCCAACTGGTAAAAGGAATAAGATGTTGGCAAATTGAGAATCTGAGCCCAATCTCTTTTTTAAACACCTTTAGTGTTTTTGAAAATAATCTTGATTTGCTGTCACCATATCAGGTAACGTGGAATGTGCCACAAAATCTTGTTTTGTTTTGCAACAGGAGGTTTATAGAGATCTTACCACTAGGATCCTGATTATTGCCATTTATACAGCATTATGGATATATGTAGGGATGGGTGATACCTGTTCATTTCTTTAACATTTTTGCTTGTTTGAACTTGTAAGTCTATTCTATTTCTGTATGTTTGGTTTTTTAAAAAAAGTTTTTTAGAATACTTATCTTGATGTGTTTAAGGGATCATCAACGGTGCCATCACATTCAGAGAAGGATGAAATCCAGTATACAGTATAGCTAAGCTTTGATTCTTTGTATTACTGTGAAAGGGTTAGATTACGTAATTTAGTATAAGAGTTCATAAAATACAACAGCCTGAATCCAATTAGAAAACCCTGCAAGAACAGAACACAATATTAATTGTATTTACAATGTTACATCACCACTGAGCAACCGATTCCATGGGCCTGCTGTAATTAGGACTATTGACTGGACTGAGGCCAAGTTTCTGAAGAATGCATAGATCAGACATGTCAATAGACAATGTGCCTTGTCTTCATCTGAGCTGGGAATAAGTTGCATGTAACACAGTTACCTATAACTAATTATTATTTCTGCGAACAAGGGTGCCATATAGTTGCATTTCAAAATAAACATAGCCAGTAGGAATAAAGATAATTTTGTTGATTTTAAAAGGCATTTTTTCTTGCTTTGAACGTTCCATTTTCAAGGCAGTTTATTGACAAGGAGTTGACTGGATAGCTCTGAGGTTCAGGTAGAGGCTGGTCGTCTGTGTGGCCTTGGGCCAGCTGCACAGTCCCAGGGCTCCCTCAGAAGAAGGAAAGGGCAAACCACTTCTGAGCATTCTCTACCTGGGTAACCGTGAGAAGAACTGACTTGATGGCAAATGGTTATTATTAAGAACTGAAAACAGATTTAGACAGGAATTTTTCAACTTTTAAGAAGGAAAAAAGAAGCAAGGAAAGTATTGTGCATCATCTTTTGTATTTGTCTAAATATTATTTAGATGCAATCTCAGAATTGGACATTAGAGGGACCCCCAAAGTATTTACCGTATCTGTTTTTATGGTGTAAGAGTAAGAACAATGCAATAGGTTAAGAAATCACAGGGCAGCAAATGATTTTTCCAGTAAGAGTAATAGTACTGTAATGATAGTGGGTACCTGCAATGAAAGCAATGAACTGTTTAACAAGTGCCTTTCAAAAAGTCAGTTTCCAAGTTCTGTTTCTCACTAAACCAGTACATGTCTTATTTACTCTAGAGCAGTGGTCCCCAACTTTGGGCCTCCAGATGTTCTTGGACTTCAACTCCCAGAAATCCTGGTGAGCAGAGGTGGTGGTGAAGGCTTCTGGGAGTTGTAGTCCAAGAACATCTGGAGGCCCAAGGTTGGGGACCACTGCTCTAGAGGGCTGACTTGTACACGTAAATTCAAAGCAACATTTCCGGTTTTTCAAAAATCTGATCCAGTTAAAATAAGTTATTCCTTCAGTTGTTGGGATGGACCAAAATTTTGTTTCACTGACATTTGAATCAGATTTATTCACAATTTCAACTGAGGCATTAAAAAAATCAAATTTTTGGAGAAAATAAAACAGAAATACTCAGCGTCAAGGATTTTAGTACTTAAGGTGTGACTTCATTGACAATTTGTATTGGTTTCAGCTCTGATGTTTTTGAAGTCAAATTAAAGTCATGTGGTTTTTGGATCACTGTGTGCATTTACTTTTGAAAATTCTTAATCCAATGTTAAATTGGGCTTTAAAATGCTTCTGGAAATGATGTGTTTGGTTATAAATCATTTGCAACATTATTTAGAATGTTTTAGATTTCCTTTGGATTGCTTGAATTTCTTTTGGCTGAATCCCTTGTTTGTTCTTTCATTTTAAAAAAAATAAAATTTATGTGTCATATTGCTAAATAAACAATAAATTGTTTTTTAAAAAAATAAACAACCACATAGAAATGGCAAGAAGGGGGCATGAGGAGTGGTAAAGCTGTGTTGCTGAGGCTGAGCTTCTTAAGAATAATACTCACAATGTCCTGAACTGAAATTGTTTATATTATGCTGGCATATGCAGCCAAACTTTATTTAATGAATTTTAAAAAAACATCTTTCAGGGTAAATAACCAGAAGTATAAATAATAAAACTTCAGAGCTGAAAAGGACCCTATGGATCAGTGAACAGAGCTCTGACAAGGGAGGCACTGTGTGGAATAGGAATGAGCACAAAGTACTTCATGCTAGGTTGTCTTAAGTTATTGGCGTGACACCATAGGTGCCACACATTCCCTACTCCCTGGTGGCTTTCCCACTCACCAGCTGGCACTGCTCATTCCCTCCCCATCTCAATCTTCCAGTCCCATCAGGAGCACAGACTTCCCTTCTCTGCCTCCTCCAGCAGCTGCCCACTCACAGGCAGCGCTGCAGGAATCCCTGCCAAGCCTCCTCATCTGGATGGGCAGCTGCTGGAGGAGGCAGAGAAGGGAGGTCCATGCTCCTGCCAGGAATGAAGATTGCACAACAGAGAAAGAACAAGCAGTGCCTGCTGGCTGGTGGGGGGGGGACCCGGTGAGGGGGTAGGGAACACACGGCACCTGCAGTGCTGCACCGACAACTTAAGACAACCTGACATGAAGTGCTTTGTGACCATCTCTAGTATGGAACTCCCAACCTCTGATACCCAAACCACTGAGCTATCTGCAGAATTAGATTATCTTCTCAATTATGTTTATGGTAGCCAATTAAATGCCATAATAAACTTGTACAAAAACAGTAAAATATTATAATAATATTTCACAGGAAGGAGAAAAAAAACCTAATAACAGCATTTAAATCAATAAATCAATTAGAAAAAACAGAAAAATATAACAACAGATTAAAAAGCACATTAAAACAGAGGCCTCAGATGAAAGAATTATAGCTGCATAAATCATCCAAAAGCTGATCAGAATGGAAAAGTCTTGAAATTGCCTGAAAAGAGAGGGTGAATATGGTTCCTTGAGGAGGGTGTTTTGGAGCAGCCACAGAAAAGGACCTGCAACCGGTGTCTGGGCAAACAGCAGCTGGGCAAACAGAATTCTGACTGTGTGTTGTTGCTTTATATTTACAAATGCAAAAGCTGATTCTAAAATGTGCATCTTACAGATAAATTGTTTGGCTTGGAAATTCTGGACAGTCTCCAATATGTCGATGCCTCCCTACCTCTTTGCAGTGCTTCCGTAAGTTACTCCTTTAATATTTTTAATATACTTTTATTTTCTTCTAAATGATGCAATGGAAAGATAATCTAGAAATCAAGGGCAATACAGTACAACCTCACAGCATCAATTTTTGGAATACTTTTTCTTCTGGCCATGTTTCATATATTCAATCCATGAGTTTCAGATAAATATTGCTGAAGCTACATCTTCTGTTAATGCATATAATAAAAGTTATTGGCATTTTATATAGTTTTTAGGAGTTCTAAGTATTTTGCATACATTCTTCTCATATAATCCTGGCTACAACCTTGAAAGAATATCATTATCATATTATATCCAAATTGCAAAATTGATGCTGAGGCTAATACATCTAATTCCTCATTCTTTTCATATGTAGTACTTTGGAGACCTCAGTGTTATCCTGACAAACCTGTCCTTATAAATTTCTCCTCTAGTGCTGAGTATCTGGAATACATTACCGGATCCCTCTGTGTCCCCTTTGTGGCCAGCCTGGGAAAGGCTGAATTAGATCATCTCATTTTCAGTGTGCAGAAGAAACAAGCAATTATGCAAAAAGTACAGGAGTGCCTGGTAAGAATAGCATTTTGCTTTATTTAAAGTCGTATATCTGGTGTTTGGGATCAGTATGTCCAGACCACCAGCAACTTGTGGTCCACGTAGGGGGAAACTGTCTCGCCCCCATCCACTGTGGCATAACGTTCTCTTCCTGCCTAGTCCATGTGGCACCAACAGTGTTGGAACAACAGTTCTCTACTGGTACTGCTTGAGAGCACAGAAGTTGTTCTGGTGGGAATTATGGGATGCAGAGATTTATAATGATTAGTAAGACTTCACTCTCTGTTAATCTCCCTGTTGTCCTACATCTGTGATTTGCCCGTCCTCCTTGATTATTTGCCATACTATTTGTGACTGTGGATGTTCAGTATTTGCCCTGATCTCCCCTACTATCTGACTATTCATTGCATGAGGAATACAGTGACAGAATACCTGTGAACACATACAGTCATGGGAAAAAGAAAGTACATCCTCTTAGTAGGATTGAAAAGTAAATATAACCTCAGATGAACAACAAGCAACACATGACATATTACACCATGTCATGATTAATTTAGCAAAAATAAAGCCAAAATGGAGAAACCATGTGTGAAGAACTAAGTACACCTTATGATTCAATAGTACGTAGAACCACCTCTAGCAGCAATTACTTGACATAATTATTTTCTGTATGACATCATTGTGGAGGAATTTTGGCCCACTCTTCTTTGCAACATTGCTCCAGTTCATTGAGGTTTGCTGGTGTTTGTATATGCACAGCTCTCATAAAGTCCCGCCACAGCATTCCAGTCAGATTTTGATCTGGACTTTGACTGGGCCATTACAACACCTTGATTATTTTCTTTTTCAGCCATTCTGTTGTAGATTTGCTTGCGTGCTTGGGATCATTGTCCTGCTGCATGACCCAATTTCAGCCAAGCATTAGCTATCAGATAGATGACCTCATATTTGATGCTAGAATACTTTGGTATACAGGAGTTCATGGTCAACTCAATGACTGCAAGGTGCCCAGGTCCTGGGGCTGAAAACAAGCCCAAATCATCACTCCTCCACTATCGTGTTTGATAGCTGATATGAGGTGTTTGTGCTGATATGGTGTGTTTGGTTTTCATGCATGCTGGCCAGACATCTCCACTTTGGTCTCGTCTGTCCAAAGCATATTGTTCCATAAGTCTTGTGGTTTGTCCAGATGTGATTTTGTAAACTCAAGCCATGCTGACATGTTCTTTTTAGAGAGAAGCTTTCTCCTGGCAACCCTTCCAAACAAGCCATACTTATTCAGACTTTTTCTAATTTTACTCTTATGAACTTTAACATTGAATATGCTAACAGAGGACTGTAAAGTCTGAGATGTAACTCTTGAGATTTTTTTGCAATTTCTCTGAATATTGTACGCTCTGACCTTGGGGTAAATTTGCCAGTAGGTTCCTGTGTGAGAATCAGAGTTTAAATGTAATTATTTATACATAACAGTTACTTGTAAATAATTGCATGCAGTATAATTACCTGTATCTTTGGGGATGCAATAACCTATTGAAAAGGTGCTTTAAAAGAGTTTTAGAGGCACTTGGATAGATTTTTTAAAAATGCTAGTCCTAAGTGGCAAGGAAATCTTGTCTTGTTTAATCTTTTGCATTTTTGTTATGCATTTTCAAAATGCAATATCTGAACATTACAGAAGGGTAATGGGAAGTATTTTCCAATTTTTCCAGGAAAAAAATTGCATTTAAGATGTGCAATGCAGCAAATGAAACAACATTAACAATCATACTAACCTAATAATAAAAACAATAATCATGTGTTGTCACGCCAATTCTGAGAACAGAGAATATTCAGAAGTGGTTTGCCCTTCCCTTCTTCTGGGGGTGTCCTGGGACTGTGCAGCCCGCCCAAGGCCTCACAGGCTGGCTCTGTGCATATGTGGCACAGTACAGAATCAAACTCCCAACCTATACCTAACTCATTGAGCTATCCAGCCAACTTGTAATGCTAACCTGGCTGCTAATTGGACTGCCCCAAATGAACTCCTCCAAAAACAACAAAAACAACAACTCAGCTAGATAAAAACTAGATTGCCTCCATCTTCCTCACACTCTTGTTATGTCTTTGAGCGCAATTCCTGATGCAAGCAGTGTGTTCGTCTAAAGCCAATTTAGTCTTGGCTTTAGACAAGTAATCCCAGAGTGGGATAACTGAGCCTACTGCTGGTACTTTTGGTGTTACTGTCTTAGACTAGTGATTATTTCATGATATATACCACATTTCCCCGAAAATAAGACAGGGTCTTGTATTAATTTTTGTTCCAAAAAACACATTAGGGCTTAATTTCAGGGGATGTTCAGAAGATCATGTCATCTTCTTCTGGTTGCTGCCCAAGGGTGGAGGGCAGGGTTTCACTTATTTTGGGGGTAGGGCTTATATTACGAGCATCCTGAAAAATCATACTAGGGCTTATTTTCAGGTTAGGTCTTTTCTGGGAAACAGGACATCTGTAAAAAGATACCGTGTGTGGTGTAGTAACAGATAGAGTAACAAACTAGGACTCCAGAGGCTTGGCTTCAAGTCCCCACTCAGCCACAGAAACTCACTACAGGTGTGGAACTCCTAAAATCTCTCCTTAAATCTCTCGCTTACCTTGAAAGGCTGCTAGAGTTGCTATACGGCAGTTCTGAGTTGAAGTATAACAAATCTGTTATTGTACTGTTTTGAAAATCTGTAAAAAGCCTCTGTGTCTGTGGAGTACATAGAAAACGATAGCCTGATTCCCATCACATGCAGATAAACATTGGTGTCTTCATTTCAGAATGGCTCAGTTGCAGATGAATATGACATTGATTTGCTTGGGAAACTCATTTGCCACTTGTCTCCGGCATTCTTCTGTGAGGGAATATCACCAGAGGCAATGGTAACAGCCCTCCACGAATTCAAACGTTGCCCCCATCTCAGTTACGAACAGAAGGTGGACGTTACACATATGCTTCATGAATTGTACGGGTAAGAGAATAATATGTGCAGGTCACACTTTAAATCCTAAAATGATAGGCACAGATGATGCCTGGTAAATTTTTAAAGGAAATGTTCAGTTAAGTTAGAAATAAAGTCATTTCTTAAGTATAGGCCCTATATTTTCAGGTCAACAATAAAATGCATGAAATTAATGCTGTTGCAGGGTGTCATGTTCCTGGGGGTTACAATAGCCAAAGTCCAATAAACCAGTCCAAGGTCAGAGATACCAAGAATGCAAAGCCAAAGTCCCGAAACAAACTTACAGAGTCAGTCCAATGTCAAAGTCCAGGGTCAGATACACAGTCAGAGTCCAGAGTTCAGAGTACAATACCAATGTAGTCCAGGGCCAAGGTCCAAAGTCCAATACCAGTGCAGTCCAGGGTCGAGGTCCAGAGTTCAGGAACAAGAGACGTGGATGCCAGCCAAGGTTTTGACTCCTTGCTTCCACGAAGTTTCTGGCTTCACTGAAGCTTGTTTTATACTGAAACAGCTCCTTGAGCTGTTGGAAAGCTCTCTATTCTGCTAGTACTCAGGACTAGGTGAACGTAGGTCCCTGTGGAAAGCCTTAGAGTGACCCTCTGCTCTTCTTGCCCTGAGTTTTCTGAAGCCTGCCCCGAAGCCTGTCTGCTGTGGAGGGAGAATCTGGAGGCTGCTCAGCTGTTTCCGATCTCTCCACATTCTCCTCAGCCACAGTTAACCCTTCTGGGTCCAGATCTTCGGAAGCACTCATGACACAGGGGCATTAGCCTCGATTTGCAATACATGCAGAATGGATTGTTGTGCGTATTGAACACAGCGGACAGAGCTGGGGGGGGTTCACTGTCTGTTCAGTGCTTGCTGCGGTGGCTGAGCTGACATCCTTAGTCCCAGCACTCTGACGCCCTTCAATGAGGGCCAGTGCTCCCAGACAGTTGTGGGTCTTCTACATGGGGTGGTTCCATCAGTCCTCAAGCCTACTGTGCCAGGGCCAAATGGTGGCAGCATCACCAGCATCACTTCTGGGTGGGTGTTGGTCCTGGTGAGCGAGGCTCCATGGGCCAGTTTTAGTTCCCACACTGGAAGCTGAGGCAGGAAGAAGGGAGCACCACCCCTGCCCCAGCTCCCTCAGGTGAGAACTCGCCCTCTCTCCTGTGCAAGGACCATGGGCCAGTTTTAGTTCCCACACTGGAAGCTGAGGCGGGAAGAAGGGAGCACCATCCCTGCCCTGGCTCCCTTAGGTGGGCTCTCTCCTGTGCAAGGGTCCTTTAGCACCTGTCTTTACACAGTTGTATTGGTAGTGCCGCCATTTTTCCACTTGGTCCAGATGAGAAACAATAAATAGGGTTGGCGGAGGCCTCTGTGGACAGAGCGTTTTAGTTCCCACACTGGAAGCTGAGGCGGGAAGAAGGGAGCACCATCCCTGCCCTGGCTCCCTTAGGTGGGCTCTCTCCTGTGCAAGGGTCCTTTAGCACCTGTCTTTACACAGTTGTATTGGTAGTGCCGCCATTTTTCCACTTGGTCCAGATGAGAAACAATAAATAGGGTTGGCGGAGGCCTCTGTGGACAGAGCTACAGATTCTAAGTGGCCTAACCATGTTTCTGAATATTTTAATGTTCCTCCCAGGTATTTATACAAGTTGGTCTGATTGAGCAACTGCCACCTGCAATTCTTTCTCCTTTTCCCCAAAACTAAAATGTTGGTTTTGGTGTCATTTACCTGGAGATGCTCCTTCACCCAATAAGCACCTAAGGTCCGTAATAGTCTTTGCATCCCACCTGGGTATAGGACAGGAGAACAGCATCATCTGTATACAAAAGTACCAAAATATTCCTGCCCGTTAGATGGGGTGGGAAAAAAGGCATATAGTCTGTTTGGCTACAAAGAAATAAAGTATTTGTATTCGTATAATACTCTAAAATATATTCTCAGTTCCCCTAGAAATTGGTCGGCTGAAACAACAAGAGACAATGGACTGTTTGTAGCTCTTTTGCCGAAGGAAGAATTGAATATCCTTGTTGAAAAGGTACAATTTTTTTTGCTGTTGTTGATGAAATCTCATGTAAAAGAAATTCAAAGACACAGGCGAAGAAGTAATTTTATTAATTATAAATGACCTATGGTTAAAGCATGGTTTGCTCCTGTTTGGAGCTCCAGTGAGTCATGTTCTATTTCAGAACTTTTCCTTCCATTTCCCCTCCCACCACCTTGCTTTTCCTTCCCCCCCCCCACTCATCTTCCAACCATCAGCACACTGATGTTGAGCATGCTCTAATCCCACTGAGCATGCTCTAATCCCACTCATTGAATTGTTTTTGGTTTTCTTTTGTATCCTCATTTGGGAGATCTTCTTCAGATAGGAGCCCCCCCCAATCAGATGTTTGATAATGCCAGAAAATAAACCAAGGCATTTCTGTGATAAGAACAAATGTATTGGTCTTAAAGGATGCAGTAGATCAATGCATCCTAACCTTGGGTCCCCAGATGTTCCTGGACTACAACTCCCAAAAATCCTGGCCTTCTGGGAGTTTTGGTCCAAGAACATCTGGGAATCCAAGGTTGGGAACCACTGATGAGTAGATGGTTAATGCAAAAGAAGAAAAGCACATGCTTTTGAGATACTGTACATGGGTTCTTAGTGAGCATCTGGCACCATTGTCAAAGTCCTGGGAAGGCAGCATGCTCGTCTTGAAAAAGAGAGTGGTAAACCCCTTCTGAGTATTCTCTACCTGGAAAACTCTGTAAAGGGTCACAATAAGCCAGAATTGACTTCCAGATGATGATCTGGAATCTTTGCAAGGTATCATAATTCTGAATTTACTTAACAGCACATTATTACACAAAGTATTCCTTCATTTTACTTTAGTAATAAAGCTAGAAAACTATAGTACTGTACTTCTCTCTCATCTTTCTGGCTAGCCTTTCATCATATTTCCTTAATATTTAAGTGTCTTCTCTCAATGCAGATAATCATCATTTTATCTTTCCCTTTTGCTCCACCCAAGTTTCCTGATATAATCTCGGAAATAGCTTTGAAGACCTCTGGCCCGGTCCCTCCGTCGGAAGAGCTCCTGTTGGCTCATTTTGAATCTGTTCGCAATGCCAGCTTCCCAATTAGAGCACCCAGCTTAACTCATGGTAAGTGATTCTTTGCTGCTTTTGTCCTGCAGGCCAAAGGACGGCTTTGTTCAGCTTTGTTGGGATCAGTATGCTTGGCTCATCTCGCCAAGCAAAATGCAAAGTAAGTGCCACAGTGGAAGCCTTAACCTGAGTTTACTTATGAACCTGTCCAGCGTTTGCAGAAAGCAAACCACATTTACAGGCAAATCAAGGGAAGATATGAGCTTTGTTTTTAAACTCTTCTTTACAGCACACCTCCTCCTATAGGTGGATTAGAGTGTATAAATATGGTTATTTGGACTTAATCCTCTGCCACAAATCAATGTCTGTTGATTCAGCTGTTTTTCGTGCCCTACGTTGTGTGCTCTTCTGTTAATGAACTCTTTTCCTTTCCTTCTGACCTTCAAGTTTAGTCTCTTATGGGGCTAAATGGGTGGGGAGGGACCAGAGGACTGGGAGGAACCTTGATCCCTTGTTCTTTCAATCTGGTCTACCTTACAGGGTTTTTGTGAGGATAAAGTGAGGAAGAAGAGAAGTTATCATTGTAATTAATAAATGTATTTGTTTGCTTAGAGCTGGCATTGGGTAGAGTGGGTACAGTCTCAGGCTAGGCCTCGAGAGGCTTGAGTTCAAATTCCTTCTTGACCATGGAAAATCAGTAAAGAAGGTAACGGTAAACATTTAACACACACACACA